GAAATGCGCCTCAGAATCGGGCCCATTCTGTATCCTCAGGCATGTTTTTGTTAAAGGCTCCGCTGAAATCAGTAGGGTAAACACCAGACAATTCAGGGCTGGGCATGGCTCATCTGACCCTCTCTTAAAACCACCTATGCTGAACACCCGAGCAAACTTGTAGAAAAACCGGGCCAGTGACACTTGTGGCGTTCTGTTCATAGTGTCTATAGACACGATAGTTAGCATTTTCCCACAGGTGGGCCGTCAGCTCGTTTGCAATACTCTGTGGTATAAATTACAGCATCTCACTGCTGGACACGGGTCTTTGGCCATAAGTAAAGGTTTACCATGATGACCCTGTCAGGACGATCTCCACGCGGTTCTTCCTAGAAACCATCATGGTTTATTCTTGTGGAATTCGTGACGAGGGCTAACTGACCTGTTACATCCTCACTTATCATCTCTGACTGATGCTTTGCCTCCATTTACCAAGAGCACAGGCGGGGTTACTGCACCATTTTCACGGATTAAAAAAGAATACAATGTATTCCTGAATATTTTTACTTTGTTGATTTTAAAATATATTATGATTGAACATAAAATGTTTTAACGTAATAATATATACTAGAAAAATTTGATACTTTTTTAATGGATGATAATGGAATGGTAACCCCGTCTGCGCTAACGGTATACGCTGGCGGGGCACCAGTGAGAGGTGATAGGTGACGATGAAAACAGGTCAGTTAGCCCATCGTGATGAATTGCACTAGAATTAACCACGATGGTTTCCAAGGGGAACCGCGTGGAGCGCGACCTGATAGGGTATATTGCTAGCAATGGGGCAGTTAGAGTATATTACTAACAATCTCTTTCTCCCCAGCAAAATTAGGTTAGTAAGAATAAAGATATTTAATTTAACTGTGTCTGGAATTATTATAAAATTAAATATACGAATAAATACTTACTAGTCTTGAAACGCCATCTATCACAGAATTAGTTTGATGGTTTTAGAGATTGCGAGAACAAGTATTACTTTTGTGAGAAATCAAGAAACTCTTGATTCTGCTGTCAACAAAGGGACCAACTGTGCTATATTTATGCAATTTTGCCCTTGTGCATCACACGTGCACTAATCGTATATATGTCATCGAACTTTACTCAATAAATGCGGAGACTTAATGTGTAGCGGCATTCGCCATATTTAAATTTGTTCAATGTTTCGATTTTTGAATAACTTCATTTGTTTTTTAACTTTCTTTTTTAAACAAAAGTAACAATTGTCTATGATGAATATATTTTTATTTATTTTTTTACATAATACTAGAAACGCCTAATTATAACACAGTAGCAATAAATATCATGCAAAATCATTATTAAATAGGTCGATTATAAAAGTGTCAAAGTATATGTAAAATGTGGTAATTTTTTTTTATGCAACTTAAAATGGCAAACAAGCTGACGGCCCACTTGATGGAAAGTGGTAACCGTCGCCTATAGACATGAGCAGTGCCATGCACATAACAGAGTATACTGTTTCGCCTATAATACCCTCATGTGTTGCCATTCCTGTAGAATCAATATCAAATTAGAAAAGTTCGTGATGTACCTTCCTAATAAGTTAAATAAAATTAATATCATAAGACGAAAAAATAAAAATCTTGACTTGCCTTATAAAATTAAAAACTCAACTTTAAAAAAAATACGCAGTTGAGTTTCTGTCCTGTCTCTCATTTTAAATTGCATTCAAAACGTTCCCCAGCGATGAATAAAACCATGAAAGGAAGATCCACGTGAATTTTATTCCACAGGACGTACAATGGTGTATTATTTTACACGTGCATTATTAAATGTCTCAGGGAATTACCTATCATAACCTAAAAAGAAATTAAAGGGCACACAAAATTGTAGATAACTTTATCAATGTACATGCAACCCTAACTGAGTAAACATAATAAATTTAGGCAAATATATACCGATAGAAATGTCCCGATCATGAAACATACGCAAGATTCAAGGACGCAATGAAATTTATCTATAGATGGTTACGTTTATGATTTTTTTTAAATCAGGCAACATTGTTACAATTTTTTTTTTGGAAACAGAATATTGTCTTTATGTAGTTAGCTATCTGTGTAAGTAGATATACATTTTATTGGCTGTGTATAAAATTTATTTAACGTCATATATCCATTCAAATGGTGACCTAAGAACAAGAAATTACGTACAAGGAATATAAAATAAAAACTGTAAACCATATTTTGCCTCCTTTCTTCTTATTCAAATATAATTAGTAAAAAGAGGACGAAAGATACACCATCAGTTGCTATTTTTCTTAATTCATAGCAGGCAGTGTATAGAAAATGTGTATGTAAAATTTTTGTTCATTTACATTACTTACTAGATTTGACACAGTTTATGTAGAAAGTATGCAAGCAGGTTGTATCTGAATTTGGTAGGGTTATACTACAATATTTTCTATTCACTAGCCTGATATAAATTGACAAAAACAGCAAGTGATGGTGTATCTTTCGTCCTCTTGTTACTATATATATTTGCATAAAAAGAAAGGAGACAACCATATGATTTACAGCTTTTATTTTATGATTCCTTCTATGTAATTCCTTGTTCTTAGGTAGAAACTTATTTTATAAAACGATAGCAACTCTGTTTGTCTATGGTTAATTATGGAAGGTTGTCCCCGACCATAGATTTGCCAGATAATATTACATTTCACTTATCTATGACTTATTCATACTTTGCATATTGTAGATCAGAAGGTCATACAACACTAAAAAAATATATTAAAACGTAATCAATACTTATAATAAATTTGTAGAGAGGTCAATTCTGTACATGAAATATATTTCCAAAATAACTATCAGCGGGTGATTAGTGATCGATACTGATGTCAAAAATGCAATCAGTAAAATTTTTGTCTGTCTGTCTGTATGTTCGTTATAGAAACAAAAACTACTCGACGGATTTTAACGAAACTTGGTACAATTATTCTTCATACTCCTGGGCAGGTTATAGTATACTTTCCATCACGCTACGATCAATAGGAGCAGAGCAGTGAAATGTTAAAAATGTCCACCCGTGCGACGCCGGGACAGGCCGCTAGTTTATAATAAATGTATGTATAACTTTTGAATTCAAGAAAACATGTAGTTTATGAGACAGTATCAGTCAAGTATGATTATTAATATAGACTCCAACTCCATATATCTTATGGGTAGGAATTTTTGTTGATAACAAGTAAGTACTAGAGGCCCCATTGTTAATAAACCACCCAAGCGAAGATCCAGCGTCGTGGGCAGGATATGCATGCCCACAAGAACAATAAATTGGTGACGTGCCACTTTCACGCCGTATACATAGATGTGAAGGGGAAAAGGATTGTTAGCAATGGAGTTTGACAGCCCCATTGCTAGCAATATGCCTTATTAGGTCGACCTCCACGTGGTTCCCCCTGGAAACCATCGTGAACAATTCTTGCCCTGAATTCGTCACGATGGGCCAACTGACCTGCTTCATCCTCACCTATCATCCCTCACTGGTGCCCCGCCAGTGTAAACCAATAGCGCGGGTGGGGTTACCATTCCCTTATCAACCATTTAAAAAAAAACATAAATGTGAACCCGAATATTAATGAAATTATTACCGTTTTCGCGAAAAAGAAACGCAAGTTTGAATTTGCAGTTTAAATACCTAATAAAATTAATTTATGTAAAACATATCATTATCATTGTCATCTCGGCCATTATGTCCACTGTTAAACATAGGCTTTCCCCATAGCCTGCACTAAGGAACAGTCCTGAGCCAAACATATACTGGTGTCTTATTTTACTTGATTTCCTTTTAAGTTGTAAATTTTTTGTCACAAACAACTCGCTAGTTTAAAGTTTAAATGTGATATTGTGATGTGCAAACACTCACTATTATTGTAACTTTCATGAGCAAGTTATTTGGAGTTTTTTGACAAAGTCCTGCATCGTAATTATTTGTCTTCTATTATTACTTACTATATTCTGGAACTTAGGAAGGGCGAGACATGGGGTCAAGTTATTAAAGCATGTACATTATTTACGATATTTATGGTGCGAAACTATTTGCTTGTACCTTTAACGTGTAATGTACATATATACATGTCCTTTTCGATATCAGTTGGACATAAATTACCATACTACTATATTTATCCTTTATTGCGGTTATATTTAATATTTTGAGAATACGAAGTACATATTGAGTGTACTTTCGGTCAGTCGATACCTTTATTCTTTGAGTATAATTTAATTCGATATCTTTTATAGAACAATATTAAATATTTTTCCTTTATGTCTAATCTTTTCCTGAAATTTCCGTTTACTTTATATATTTTTGTATGATTTTACTTTTGATAACATCAGCAATGCCTCTAGGTGATAATGGTTAGTGATTTATTAACATACGTATATAATTACTAATATATAATATACAATTGATTGATAAATGATCTCTTTATTCTGTCTACTCTAAAAAGAAAGAATTCACAAATGATGTTTTAAAATTTCTTTGTAATGATAAGATTTTTTACAGTTGGTGATAACTTCTGATAACAGTGCTCGTTCCTTTACGAAAATTTTTGGCCAAATATTATATTTATTTTAAACTTAATTTGCTTAAACGCAATACAAACCATATGAAAAAAATAATAAGTAATTAATACAATATTAAAATATCTAATTTTACACAGTTAAATAATAATATTACCTAAAAATCTTGTCAAAATCAAAATCTTTTCTGCATTCAATGGAGTACTTACGCGTAACGTTTCGTTGCTACATTTGTAAATTGTTTATTTTTATCAATAATGAAAATATCTCAAATGATTATATTTACATAACTTAATAATATAAATATACTTATAAATAATAAAACATAAATACTTAGTTTTGTATTTAAAATTTTAATAAATTTGATTATATGCAACTAAATATGTAATATATTTTAATGAAATCGCCAGGTATTGTAAAAACCAAACGAAGTGCTCGAAATTTGAAAAATCCTGAAAATGTAGCAAAATTTCATTCTAAAATTTTTTGTTGTTGAATAAAAATTGATAATTAAAGATATGCCTGAACTAACATAATATATGTGAAAATAAAATAATCTGTGATTTTTTAATTCTGATAGAAGTGTACTTTCTTTGACTATTTATTGCGTCAAACGTTGTTTGTGAATTTGAGTTTCTGATATAAATATGCTGGACTATATGCTAGTGTTTGACTGCTAATCTATTTCTAATCCATTGTATAATGAACGTGAATAATTATTTTACAATGTTCAGAAGAGCGGTATTAAAATCAACAAATGTTACAAGAACCTATGTGTGTAAAACGCGTGCTTTAAGCTCTAAAACTAATCAATCTGAGTCTTTTAGTGGTGAGAGTGAAAATAAACAAACGCACTTTGGTTTTGAAACTGTTGATGAAAAGGAGAAATGGAAAAAAGGTCAGGTGCCACTTTGTAAACCAAAGATTTCATTACACTATCAAACATGGGATAACATCTTGTTTCCTAACCTAAATTCCATTATTAATTTTTAGATTTTCACACTACATGTTTTACGATTTATAACAGACGAGAATTAATGACATCATTTACGTAAACTATAATAATTTACTTAAATTATGTTGATGTTTCAACCAGGAATACCTGTGTATTATGTGTATGTTTGTATTGTTGTTTGTGTGCTGTAAGTAATGTAAATAAATTATCTATCTATCTATCAGAATACACTGTCTCTTGTAAACTACACTCTATTTTCATTAAAATAAAAAAGAATTTGGATAAAGTTTTTATACATACATACTCAGTAGATTTAATCAAGAGTAATGCTTGGATAAAACAAGTATCTACTACAGGCCTGATTATGTCTGTAGAGCTGGTTTACTTCACATAGAAATCATAGACATAACATCAATTTTCTGAAGGTTCAAATGTCAGGTTACAAAATCCTTACTATAGTGAAAGTGAGTTGGTTTCTTGCCCCATAGCATACATCGGAAACCATTATCACATGCATAAACAGCCTTACAGTGCAGCTGTGGATGATGATAATCAGTTGTTTGCTGGTGGGCAGTCATCCTCTTATCTTATGTAATAACTTGGGGTGAGGAATTGTATACTATATATATTACTAGTGACCTGCCCCGGCTTCGCATGGGTGCACATCACATCACATTAGAAACCTTTAAATTTATCAGTGTTTCTCTACTATATTATGCATGTATTATACATATAAACCTTCCTCTCGAATCACTCTATCTATAAAAAAAAAAAAACTTTAAAATCCGTTGCATACTTTTAAAGATTTAAGCATACATAGGGACGGACAGACAGCGACAGTGACTTTGTTTTATACTATGTAGTGATTAGTATAGCTTAATAACTTGATCAAACATCATGAAATTTAGGATAATTATGTATTGTTTACTTTTTATTCCGATTGTGCAATGTCTAGTAAAAAATATGCAAAGTCCAAAAATTATAGATGTGTAATTCTGTTGACAAGTATTAGACAGTCTGCTTCCATGTACTTCATTTATTGATATTACATCTAATGTTTTAGTTCACGAGGTGTTTGAAAATGTGGCTGACAAATATGACCTGATGAATGATGTCATGTCGTTTGGAGTGCATCGCCTGTGGAAAGACATTTTTATCCAACGATTGGCGCCCACACATGGCACGAATCTGCTCGACATGGCTGGAGGCACAGGTAATTGTTTAATGAAATAAGCTTATACTTGTTAACAATATTCTGAATGTCTGTAAATAAATTAGATAGTCCTCTCATGAGAATGCTTGCTTTATTATATACCAGATTCTATGGTCTTCTAGATGCTGCTCATGTCTGTAGGCGACGGTTACCACTTTCCATCAGGTGGGCAGTCAGCTTGTTTGCCATACTAAGTTGTATAAAAAAAAAAAACTATTGTTAGTATATTGTGTTCTAGTGAACTTATCAACATCATCCTCACCTATCATCACTCTTTGGTATAGTATATCATTAGCATAGGCATTATTATTACATTTACAAAAAAATTTAAAAAAGTAACAAATAGTTATGTTGTCAACATTAATTATTTATATATATGGACAATTTAAAAAGAATCTGTAATTCAGGATTTATTTCTAAATTATATAAAGTCTATTTTTATTTTATTTATTTATTTTAACAAATAGATAAAATTGATGAAAGGTTTTCTTGTCAACAGGCGACATTACATTCAGGTATATAAACTACCTGAGGAACAGCGGCGATGCGGCCGGCCGCCGCAGCAGCGTCACCGTCTGCGATATTAACCAAGCCATGCTGGACGTTGGCCAGCTCAGAGCACAGAAGTAAGGGACCATTCACAAATTACATCATGAATAAAATAGATTTGTGTCTATTTTCGATTGCCACCACTGTCTAGACATGAGATTTAACTGTGTCCTGTCATGATGTCAAATAACCTATAACATTGTCATCGGCAGGGAATCCATTTTCATACCTTAGAGTCTTCACGCACAGTGCGATTTCAGGAGAGCTTCCTCCCGTGAACACTCAGGTTGTGGAATGATCTTCCTGCCAAGGCTTTCCCTAAAGACTACAAGTATAGGGTTCAAGAAGGGCGTATTTAGACTTCTTAAGGGTCAGCAGAGCGCATGTGACATTCCTGGTGTTACAAGCGTCCATACGCTACGGTACCCCGTTTGCCATCAGACGGGACATATGCTTGTTTGCCACCAGAGTAGTATAAAAAAAATATCAAATGTAAAAAGAATTTTTCAAATCCGACTGCTAGTCCCAGAGATGGGCATAAATAAATAATCAAGCATTATATATTAGTATAGATCAGTGAAGTTGTTCATTATGGCTCGTAGACAAGGCAACACCAAGGACAGCACGGTGGACATAGAGTGGGTGTGCGGGGACGCGGAGAGCCTCTCGCTGCCCGATGACTCGTACACCGCCTACACCATCGCATTCGGCATCAGGAACTGCACGCATGTTGACAAGGTGACCTTGGACGTTATTAGACTTCCACAAAACACCCAGTGTCAATCTTGATCAATATGAATAGTATTAAAAATTACTTTAAGGTTGTAAAGATTGCTCTCAGCAATAAGACCGCCTCACTGTACTTATACAACTGTATCATTACATTTATTGTCTTGATTTATGACCAAATTAATGCACAATAACCCAATATTGAAAAACGGGTCAACTTTGGTTAATTCCAGATGCGACAAATAGTTAAAGTGATTCCTCATCTATATATTTAGCTTATAGGCGGGGTTACTGCATCATTTTTATCTATAAAAAAAACTGTATCGTTACATTTTATTGTCTTAATTGACCAAATTAATACACAAAAATAATATTGTATCCTTAGATAACATAGAGCGTCTCCATAGAAATGCTTCGAGAAAAACGGGTCAACTTTTTCATACAATTTTGCGTGATAAACAGTTATAAGTGATTCCTTTATAACTTCTATATTTATTTTGTCTTATAATTTTTGCATCTTTTTAATGCGTAAACACTCATTTTATTTATTAAATAATACATCAAGATACATTGTATGCGTAAGTATATAGAACACTGGTAAAAAAACGAGTCAGTTTAACAATTAGCTGACAAAAAGTTGACCCGGTTTTGAGACTCGAAGCTCTATATATATAATCTAAGATTGTATTATATAGATACATACATATATAATCGCTCTTAGCGATAAGGTCGCCCATTGTTTTCTCATTGTGATTATTTCTTGTAATTGTTTATATCTATAATAAGTTTACTATTGTAATCTTTTGGAGGAAACAATAAAGAGTATCTATCTATCTATAAATGATGACAATGTAAATAAATCATTACAATAATTATTGTGTTATCCAGGTACTGGGAGGAAGCGTACCGGGTGCTGGCGCCCGGTGGCCGCTTCATGTGCCTGGAGTTTAGTCACATACCCAACGACGCGGTACAATGGTAATTAATATCTCTTATGATTTATCTCTGACGAAGGAACTTATCGCTTTAGGCACGGCTTTTTTATGCAGCTTAGAATGGCAAACAAGATGACGGCCCACCTGATGGAAAGTGGTAACCGTCGCCTATAGACATGAGCAGTACCATGGACATAACAGAGTATACTGTTTCGCCCATGATACTCCCCATGCGTTGTCATTCCTGAGGACTCAGGTGTTATTCCTCTGTACCCTGTAAATTTACTGCCATATCCTACCCTTCAAACCGAAACAGCCACGCAAACACAACTGCTTCACGGTAGAAACACAAATGGGACAGTGGTGCCCAAGCAAACGACTTTTGTACAAAGTGTCTCTCTGGTAAGTAATGTCTTAAATACATAAAAACTAACCAGACTTCATTCTTACCATCGTAAACCAAACACGTAGTTAGTTACATTTTTAATCTCGAAAAAGTTATTGCAAAGAATTTAATTTGTCGCAGGGTCTACGACCAGTACTGTTCCAGCTGATCCCAGTGCTGGGCCAGCTGATAGCCGGCCAGTGGAAACCCTACCAGTATTTGGTCGAGAGCATCAGGCAGTTCCCGAATCAGGTAATTACGATTTTTTCTAATGTCGAACGAATCAAACTTCGTAAAATTAAGTTTTTATTTTTTGACTGTCTGACCTTATAATAGCCGCTTCAATGGACCATTTTATATGTTTTAAATGTAATATACTTTTGTGTTAAAATGTTTAAATGTGGGATATGGTATTAGACCAATAGTCCACAGCTCTTTAAACTTAGGCAAGTGTGCCACAATCGTCCAGGCCGAAACTATGACCATAATAAGATGTGTAGAACTGAATCGTAAGTTTTAACTTCACAAACAATATTATATTTATTTACTCGGATAGTCAATCGACATTACTTGCACTTGACTCATACAAAAATTAAGCTAAAGCTTATAAACAACTGCATAATGATATTAAATGACTTGGGCAACAGACATGACATCATCTTGACATGGATCCCCTGGTCACTCAAATATTCATGGAAATGAAATAGTTGACCAGTTAGCAAAAGTAAGTGGTAAATGTACCTGTTTTTTTTTGTACAACTTGTATGACATCAATACAATTACAAATGTAATCGTTACAGGAAAAATTCAAGACTATGATCGAGGACGCCGGATTCAGACAAGTCACCTATGAGAATCTTACGTTCGGCACCTGCGCTATCCACTCAGGGTTTAAATTATAGATGATATTTATTTACGTTTGTAGTGTTGGATTGTTGTAAAGGCGGGTGCAGACAGTGCAACAACTTGCAAGGCAAGAGAAAAAATATTAAATATTGTCGCTTGGCAAGTTCAAACGCTTAGCGAGTCGCATTGTCTGTACGCACCTTAAGATTATAAGGTAAAATAAAAATGTACAGGTACGTTTTAAAGAATTTTTATTAAATCCATCAAACTGTACGGTGTTTGGAATGCAATCCAGTACCTACCTAAATACATGTCCAGTCATTAAAACTATGATATCAAATAGTCGACGCTCAGCCGACACTATGGTACAATTTGTGATCAGTTTGAATTTATTTAACATAATTATATGTGTACTAATGTCTCGCAACCAGAGTCCCGGTCATACTCGTCGGCCACAACACCAGGCCACGTCACATTCAAACCACGCTCGCCTCCACACCCTCACAACTCACCTCTCGCGACGTATGAAAGCTCAGAAAAAGCATGCTTAAATATTACATGACATTTATATGTTAGGTGTGACACTAATGAGCTAAGCTGAGCACCTCGTCACTTCTAACCGTCGCACCTACGTCTAGAAATAAACGCAGACAACGAGAAGCAAATAAAGTGTGAGTTAAGGATATCAAACATTAATATAGTCCGTACCGAGCGTGCACTCAACATAAGTTATTTGCAATAATTACAAAATCATACCCAAAGATCCGTGATCCTGGCGTCCGTACGGTCCGTTCGGCGCATCCGACAACCTGACTGCCCACATCCGAGATCCTTCGGTACGATCCTCTGCGTGCGAGAGTGCACCGGCACCGTCCTACTGCGATCCGATCCGATCCGATCCAATCCGACACTAACACGCGTCCGTCCGATCCGTCCCTGATCCGATCCGATCCGATCCTAGGCATCCTGACTCACACCTCCAGCCAAGCACATCCAATGATCCCAATCCACAGTGGATGAAACAAAAGAAAACTTATTTAATCATTACAGTCATAGTGTGATGTCATCATTAATTTACAGAGAAACGAGGCCCGTCGCGGCCCCCGACAGTGTTTATTGCTAGTCTTATTTATAATTAGTAAAAATATCAATTAAAAAAAAAAAATAACATATTCAATACATATATATATATATATATATATATATATATATATATATATATATATATATATATATATATATATATATATATATATATATATATATATATATATATATATATATATATATATATATATATATTATCTGTAGAATTCTTAGCCTTATACTAAACAAACTTGTCCTTCAACTTCTATTACAACAGCTCGGACGAAGTAGATCACAACTGTATGATATGAAAGACTTACATCGTCCTGGCCATTCTAATAGTATCTACCTACCCCCGTAGAGGATAGTTGTTAATATACAAATTGTAATTTTTTTATGAAACTACCGCCTAATTTGAAAAACATTCAAATGAGTAAAACGGGCGATATATACGATGTATATGTTAGGATGAGGCTAAATATCGTACAGATAAGCGTGTAGAGGCCGCAGCGGGTCGAGCTACGCTAGGTACAGTCTAGTGCTAGGGCTAGTGCTAGTATAGCGGCGGCGGCTGCGGCGGCGGCGGCGGCGGCGGCTCGCGCTGTCAACAACATCTCCAGTCGGTCACATGTCCACACCTCATGTAGCACGTGCGCAATGGCACTTTGTAAGCACCTCGCTGACCAGCGTTTATAATAACATACGAACTTGGATCTACCTCCATACAGTGCCTCCTCTTTTATGACAGTGGTCACTGTCGCTTAGACATGAACAGCGGCATATACAATTGTGCTCATGTTACCATTCATGCGTTGCCATTCCTGACAACTATGACTTTATGCGTTTAATTTCCGGTGAAATTATCGTGATCGCCTTACTGACCTGACTTGATCCTCCCCTATCATTTCTCACTGGACATTTACAGAGCGCTGTTTAGCACCAAACTAAGAAGAGTTTGTACTATTCGTGATAGCTTATATATATATATATATATATATATATATATATATATATATATATGCTATAATATAAATACAGTGACTATTGGAAAGTAAAATGTGCAAGGTCAGATTTCACATAGATTTAGTATCAAATATGCACTTTTCTGTGTACAGCGACCAGTATTTTCCATATTTGTTATACCATGAATGTCAGAAATTATATATATAATATATACTCGAATAAACATTATATGCTTGTATATAATGAAATACACTGACCGGGTCAACATGTCATTGTTTTAATTATTTTATATATAAAACTATTTACTTGGTGCAGTTTGTCCCAGTGTTCTGAAAATATATTTTTAAAGGCATAATTATGATGAGCCAGCCATATTACAGTTGAAGCTGGAGTGTTTTAATGCACTTAAAATATTTTAAATTATCAATTAATTTAATTAGAAGTAAAGCATTAATGATTTTAACTGTTATGTTTATGTAACAGTAGATTCCTTAATTAACATTTTATTGGAAATAAAAAAAATCGTTTCTATTCTGGTCAGATTGTCCACAATTTTCATCAGTTCATAATAATCTTACAATTAAATAATTAAGCTTGCCAGCTATAAACATGTCTAGTTTGAATAAATTTTCCTTTTTCTGGGAATTTTCCCCTTTTCCTTTGCATCTCATTCTTAGTGTGTTTTTTTATTTATTTCTATCAACATTTATGATAGAAATAAAAAAAATAAATAAAAAAAACAAATACAGCGATTAGTAATGAGAAAGCTTGCAAGAACCCCATAAATATTCAAATTCAAAATGTCTTATTTTATTAATTTTTTTTTTCTGTTTACTGTGAAACATTTTTGTTTTTGCATTTTCATATATTAAAACGTATTTATAATTCAAAATTTTACTTTTAAACAAAAATTGATTTTTATCATAAAAAAATTAGTGTAGAGCCAATATCAGTCGGGTAAAAATAATCATGAAAAATATATTTGGAATTGTGAAGAGATCAAGTAAACACACATACGAAAAAATACAGTAGAGTTGAGAATATTTTTTGTAAAATTCAAAGGAATAATTACTATAAATATTGTTATAGTGTGTCAATTTATACAGGGTGATATCAAAATTTGTCAGTGAAACTGTACATTTTCTTTTAAATATGATAAAAAAATTCCAGTATCTCTTACTACGTTAATCTTTACAGTTGAATGTATTATTCCATATATACAATAAGTTAATTAACGTAACCCATCCCATAAAACTGGTAGTTTACATTAAGACTCAAAATTGTTTTCTTTAAGTAAAAAAAACGTTACCATAAAATCAATTAAAATTCTCGAAAAAAGAACATCCCTGTATCTGTACCAATGGCACTATACAGTACAAAATATGCACTCACCTATTATTATGTAATTCTGTATATATACATATATATACACACATACATATACATGACATGTATTTACCCAATTTCATTGATGAAAATGTTCAGTTTCATTCATAGAACAGTCTTTAAAAAGCGTACCATTTCGATGCCACCCTGTATACATATCTTGTATTTATAAGTACTCGAGAGCTCTTAATGCATCAGTATTGGTCACGTGTGTGGTATGGGTATGAAATACATAAGGTTGCGCACCGACCTGCGTGTGCGAGCGCTCAGTAGGGCGAACGCGAACGCGAGCGCGAGCGCGAATACGAGCGGCGCACCGGCGAGTACGTGGGCGACGCGCGCCGCCGCGGCGAGTACGACCGCGACCTGCAACAACCACCGCCATATGCACTGCACGCCCGCTATACATGTCTACACCACCTCGTTACCAATGTACCCTGCCTGCTTAGCCTCCACGTGGCACCCCTTGGAAACCATCGTGATCAATTCCAGGCGTAAACATCACGATGGAATAACTGACCTGCTTTGATCCTTCACTGATGCCCCGTCAGTGTATACCGTTAGCAAAGGCGGGGTTTTTTTGGTGGGTGATAATGAAATAGTAAACGTCACCCGCGCTATCGGTATACACCAGCGGGGCACCAGTAAAGGATGATAGGTGAGGATGAAGCAGGTCAATTAGTCCGCATAGGAATCGACCTCCATGCGATTTCTCCTGGAAACCATCGTGTTTAATTTTTGTCGAATTAACGATGGGCTAACTGATCTGTTATCATCATCACCTATTATTCTTTACTGGTGCCCCGCTAACGTACACTAATAATGCAGACGGGGATACCATTTCATTTTCATTCATAAAAATAAAGCCACCTCACCATACACGAATCAGATTGCTTATTATATTATACAGCAGCTAAAGTTGATGGGACATTTAACTACTATGTTATGCACCTCAAATACAAGGTATAAATGATCACAGTATGTTTGTTACCTCATAACTTTGTTCTAAATCAATTTGGAAAATTATTTTATCAGAAAAAAATATATTTTTATTAAAATCGTTTCAGTTGTTTAGTTTTTAAATCAAAATAACTTATTTTGCCACAAATGAAGTAGTTTTTTTGTTGAAGACAATTTTTAAATGTAGTTCTAGTGTATGTCACATTGATTTACATACAATGAATAAAGTTAATCCTTCTTTGCATAATGGTGGAAATTCCCATCATAACATTGATTGCCCAAAAATTATTTAAAAGAACAAATTCACTTTAAGTTGATCGTGTCCGGATAACTTTTTAATGTCCATTGCAGAAAAAAAACCATAGCTGTCAAATTTATTTTTTTAACCATTTTTCCTTTAATTTTGAACATGAATTATATCACCTTGATTTATTTCACCAATAAAAAAATCATGCAAAGAAGGGTTAAACAGGATCTATTGTTGTTATATGTAAATAGATATAGTTGCATACATAAAATAAAAATTGGCAGTGTGGTCCCAGCATAGGATAGGTCACCCCTTTCTTTCCCGTAGGTGTGTAGTCAGAATGGCAAACAAACTGAACTGATGGAAAGTTTTTTTTATACAACAATTATTCAGGTAAATCAATTTTAGCAAACAAACTGACGGGCCACCTGGTTGTGATGTCGCCTATAGACATACCAATTTGGTTTTTGGGAACAGTACCATGTTGGATGGAATTTTTACTCAAAAACTCACGGACAACAAGAGATGGGCAGGGGCATTGTCTGTTTTGCCCAATGGACGAACTCGTGCCACACGAGCTTTGAGGCGTCTGAGCCATCGACGTAGAATTTTCCATCAACTGTCTGGCCTGAGGGCTCTTGATGGGAACATCGAACTTTTTCTCTCTGAATCTTTTTAGCCACTTGTGGACTGTCAAGCATTCTGAGATCGGCAAAAATTTCACGGCCATTCTTGCCGAGTTTCCTTGATTACGACGCGCTGCTCTTCAACGGAAGCGGGCTCCATGCCGACGGGGTTTCAAACCGAAACACAGCCATGCAAACCACTGAAGCATTGTTAGGGACATGCTTTACCTGGGTTCCAGAAACGGACAGAATGTACCGACAGAGTGGTGCCCATGATAACCCCCCAGCCAAACGATTTTTGTAAATTCACTGCCCACCCTTCAAACCCAAACACAGCCATGCAAACACAACTGCTTTACGGTTGAAACACGAATGCGACAGAGGTGCTCAAGCAAACGATTTTTGTAGTCTCCCTTTGGTAAATTAGGCGACTAAGGGAGGGCGAAGGATAGGCAGTAGCATCCCTCTTAAAAACATTTCTAAAGCCTGACTGCGGTTGCCAATCCACCTGCCAAGGATGGCAACTAATGGGAAAACTCCCCAAGGTGGAGGCTTAAGTTCAACAGTGGACAGTTAAAGGCTGATATGATGATAAATAAATTAAAACAATAAATAAAAAAAGGGAGTGGAGTCCTGACCTATCGCGATCGCCGCTGTACCTGTCGGCGCCGCCGCCGCCTCCTCCGTAGTCCTCCTTCACGCGTATGTAGGAGACCTCACCCTGGGGACAAGTTTCATCAGCATTAATCATGAGAGAATTAACACATTTTCTTAGCTTTTTTATGGGTGAAAACAGAATGGTAACCCGCACTATCGGTATACACCGACGAGGCACCAGTGGAAGATGATAGGTGAGAATGAATGCAGATCAGTTGGGCCACCATGATGAATTCGACAAGAATGAACCACGATGGTTTCCAGGGGGAACCATGTGAAGGTCTACCTGAGAGAGTACATTGCTAGTGATGGGGCTATTAGACCTCATTACTAACAGTCCCTTTCCCCCCCATTTTCTTGGCTAGCATCACGTATACGATTTACCTATCTTCTTTACGTTCATAGGATTTTGTAAGATATGATGGAACACCTATAGCAGAGGGAGAAAAGTATCTCTATTTGTGTTCCTGTCGCCAAGCAGTATATTTATGAGCTATATATTTATTAAGCATATCTAAAATCATAGTCGGGCCAGTACGTGATCACGACAGGATGTAGACGTGATGCAATCCCCATGGGGGGATGGGATTGTTAGCAATGCGGATTACTAGTTCCATTCCAATATGCTCAACCAAGTCGATCTCCACGTGGTCGTCCTTGGAAACCATCGTGCTGAATTCCAGGTGAATTCATCACGATGGGCTAACTGACCTGCTTTTTCAATCTCATCTATTATGCCTCACTGGTGACCCGCCAGCGTATACCGATAGCGCAGGCGGAGTTACCACATTGTAAAGACAGAAACAAAAATCTGGTATGTAGTTACTAGGAAGAGGGTACCGCGATACACATGAACACAGTTACTGTTGGTACCCCATCAGAGTCTAAACTCGATAGAGACAAAACTTTCTTTGTATGGCGATATCGGTGACGCGGGGGTCACGGTAGCTACGGTTGAACTTAACCTTGACTGTTATACTATGTATTAAGCTATTTTACTTTTCAAAAAGGTTTGACATGGTGGAGAAACTACTGGATAAGATGGTGTGAAATATCGATCCTCAGGGATAACAATGTAGTGGTATTATGGGAGTCAAAATATATAAGTCTATGGTACTGTTTATCTTTACAAGTGATGGGTGTAATTTGTAAAGAAATAGGATGTTAGACTGTACGCCCTAGAAGGTTAATATTTTAATAACATGGAAGGTATAAGAGATTCGTTTTGAGGAGGAGGACTAGGACGGGACGCACCTCGTGGCTCCTGAAGCGGGAGTCGTCGAGCTTCTTGACGGCGTACTTCATGTCCTCGTGGCGCAGGAACTCGACGACGCCGGTGCCGTCCTTGAAGGTGTCGGCGAAGCAGACGTCGCCCGCCTCGCGCATGTGGTCCTTGAGGTCCTGCCAGGAGCCGGAGGGCGGCAGGCCGGTGACGAGCACGCGGTAGTCGGAGCGGCGCGCGGGCGGGCCGCGGGCGGCGGCGCGGCCGGCGAAGCGCTCGGCGCCGCCGCGGCCGCGCGCGCCGCCGCCGCCGCCGCCGCCGCCGCCGCGCGGGAACTCCACGCGCAGCCGGTACCCGTCGTAGTCGTAGCCGTCGCGCGCGCGCACCGCGTCGTCCGCGTCCCTGCCACGGCATTCCCATTCACGCGATGCTGCCCACTTTTTATTGTCGGCTGCTAGGCGGCCCGAGCCGCCGTTCCATAATGGTCCACAATACTCGAGAGTAGCAACACATGAAAGGTACCATGGGTATCACAGAGTATTCCATGACGTTCACGGTGCTGATCATGTCTATAGACAATAGTAACCACTTTCCATCAGGTGAGCCATGAACTTGTTAGCCATTCTGTTTCATAATATAAAAAATCTCCGTTTGAGGGTATCGCCACCTATAAAGACTTACAACATACAAAATTTAGCTAGTGTGTTGCCATCTTTTTAAACATTTCTTGTAAAACTATGAAATGTCAGTTCCATGATGGGAGCACAGCAGTTACAATAATAATAGCATCATCACAGAGCATTAGTCATTATATAAGTAAATGATAAGTACTTAAGATAATGTTCTATAAAAAAAAACTCTTCAATTGTGGAAAAACCAGTTATTTTGATTTTAGAACTACTGAACTAATTTTGATATTATTTTTATGAGACCTATAAAAAAAAATACGACCAATTTGAGAAACTCCTTTTTATAAATTAGTTTTTTTTATACAGCTTAGAATGGCAAACAAACTGACGGTCCACCTGTTGGAAAGTAGTAACCATCGCCTATAGACATGAGCAGTACCATGGACATAACAGAGTATACTGTTTCGCCCATGATACCCCCCATGCGTTGCAATTCCTGAGGACTAAGGTATTATTCCTCTGTACCCAGTAAACTCACGCCATATCCTACCCTTCAAACCGAAAGACAGCCATGCAAACACAACTGCTTCATGGTTGAAAATAAAAATTGCTCCAACGCAAAGGTAGGAACAATTGAACACTATGTGCAGTGTAATCTTACACTACATATAGTTTTATTAATCAGTAATAAATGCAGTCAACAAAAAAACTTACAGTTCCGAACACTTATCAAAATAATACTATTTTTAAAAATACTTGAATGCAATACATTGTATGATGTACCAATGATAACATATTACTGAAACCATGGTTAACATTCAGCTAAGGGATTTTAAATTCAACACACACTAATATAATAACCAAGATTGATATTTACATATACATATATAACCAAATAGTAAATAGGTTGGGTGATAGATACAAACGCTATCTTCAAACATTCATTGTGGTAACAGCATGGTATTTTTATAGATATAAGGAATATAAAATAAGCATTATTATAGTACTATTTTATCTTAATAAAATTGTTATTAAAACATTTCATTATCATGGTCACATAAAGTGATTTTTTTATACAACTTAGAATGGCAAACAAGCTGACGGTCCACCTGATGGAAAGTGGTAACCGTCGCCTATAGACATGAGCAGTACTATGGACATAACAGAGTATACCCATGATACCCCCCATGCATTGCCATTCCTGAGGACTCAGATGTTATTCCTCTGTACCCAGTAAATTTGCACCATATTCAAACCGAATATTACCATTCAAACCGAAACACAGCTGTTCCCCCTGGAATTACCATTGTGGTTAATTCTAGAGGAATTCGTCATGATGGGCTAATTGACCTGCTTTTATTGTCACCTATCATCCCTCATTGGTGCTTTTTAGCATTATTAGCGGGATTAGCATTCCATTATCGCCCATTAAAAAAAGTACAATAAAAATTTGAGTTGAATCAGGTGGAAGTAATTGTTTGAATTTAGTATGTTTGGAGTGAAAGGTGGAAAGACATTGTATGAAGAATGTTAAATAAAAATTCATATCACAGATGTTCTCTGTTATTGCCTAATAAAACTACACACAACTGTTTCTACATGAAATAACAATTAAATATATGGGGATCATTTGTTAATTGACAATATTTATGCAGGTGGTTATCACTGACATGCAAACAATTATTTGCAAAGCATACATTGATAAGAGACAAGGATGCAATAATTAAAAAACTTTTAAATAACTACAAACATGCTCACAGTAGTAATCCCAGATGGGGCAGGCAGTCATTAAGCTGACTGTTCAGATTATGGTCAATATAACTTTTTCTAATTTGTCAAATAAACTTTTTTTAATCTTTATCACATCAAAGATTTTTCTTTTTTAAATTTATTAAAACTTTTTTAAATCAAAGGTATTAGTTATGTCAGATAATTGTTGTAGTAACATATTTATCTGCACATTTATTCCCAAAATACAAAATATATTGTATAGGATCGGTAGGCAAAACAAAATTAAGAATTAAAATTAGGTTATAGTTAATTTAAGGTTAAATACAATTTGCAGAATTGTATTTAACCTCTCTTAAAATTCATTTTTATATTTAGTCTACTTCTTACTTTCATGTAAACATACATATTACTATTTTTATTTATTCATTGGTCCATATATGTGTACAAAGCGGACTTAAGGATAAAACAATAAAAGCATTCTCTCTCAGTTAACTTTAGGGAAGTGTTAGAACATTCATGTCAAGGTTTCTTTTTATTACGTAAGAATGGAATGGTATATTTGCCTGTACTATCGGTTTTAATTGGTAGGGTACCCGTAAGAGATGACATCAGAGAATGAAAGCAGGTCAGTTTGCCTCATAGGACACATTTAACAAATAACCATGATGGTTTTCACGGGGAACTGTGTGAAGATTGACCTGTATATTGCCAGCAAAGGGGCTATTAGACCCCATTGAAAACAATCACTTTTCCCCATCATGTCTAGATTAACATAGGATACTTTTATTGGAATAAAGTTTAGGGATACAACTAGTAATTACTAATATTGTAAATATGACAGCAAGTTCGTTTGTTATGCTCGATTTACGGTCTCCCGATCATTATTAAAGTAGGTTTGTTGAATGAAGTCCAATTAAAATGGCTACAAATATCCACAATTTTGCGACATACATATTTTATTTTATTATGTAGCTGTCGAATGCTAGGCAAACAAGAAGAACAAGTGGACATAAAAACAATGTTTAAATATTTATGTGCGTCTTTGCATTGCAACTCTACATATTTTTATACCATTTTGCAATGTACTCACCTGGGATCTTCAAATTCTACGAAAGCAAATGGTGGTCCCTTTCTATTCTTCAAATCGACGAATGTGACTTTACCGAATTTGTAGAATAAGTCTTGTATGTCCTTTGTCCTGATATCCGGAGGCAAGTTACCGACATATATCCTGCACTCATTTCTGTTGTTACCGCTTCCACCGGACATAGTAATTAGTTACTATATATAAGAGATATGAATTTAATAAGATTTACTAATAGCTAAACAAGATTTTCAATTCCATTCGCGTTACAACTTTCGACGCAAATATTCGTTGGGTTACATGTATCACTCAATAAAATATGGCGTCTCGGTATAATGTCTAATTGACAGTAGGCATGCTAGGAAAAGGAAATACAATTTTTTTTTAATAATGCGTTCATGTCCTTTTAAAATGGTTTTTTATGACTGTTAAAGTTATGAGCAACAAATCGGGTTGTATTAAAATAAATTTTTATTGTAATAAATTTAAATCGTACTTCTAGTTAGTAGTAACAATTTTTTTCAGATATTTATAATATACCGTTATTTAAGGGACACATACACAGTTATTTAAAGGATTTTCAAACCACAATTATTACAAACTAAATCAATTTTAAATCTATGTATATACTGTTTGTAATATACATAGGTATATAATTGAATACACTATAATTACTCAATATTATTATATTAGTCATTTTTATTATCTATAAATGAAAATCTTTAACAAAAAATAAAGAAAATATCTCGACGATTGTTTTCTATATTCATTTAATATAAAAGTATTTCATTACTTAAATTTATTATGAAATAGATATTAATTATTATGAACTTTATTTTCTTGATTTTTAAAACACTGGCTGAAAATCGAACTATTTGAAGAACGCAGCAAAATACACGTCATTTTTTAATCTTTTGAATTTCGAACGCCATCTGCAGCACTACGAAGAAACATTTATTGAAAGAAGCCTCTGAAAGAATCCACTAGAAAGTAGTCATAGAATCTCCGGTATCAAAATCTTTACGTGAGAATTTGTTCTTATCCCGAAGCAAAAGTGAGTATTTTATTATTTTGGTGTTCATTTAGTTTCTATTAATCATTATTATTATTATTCAGTGAAAGTTGTTGAGTAGTTTTTGAAATAATCACGAAATGGTGCATAGCGTATTATAGAAGCGGTCTCGATCCTCGTGTATTTGCTAAAATGTACTTCAAATTGACTCTATTGATCAAACTTTTACGTTTCTATGGTATTAAACTAATAACCTACTAGAATAGATAAGTTTTATCTTGTTTGAAGATCCATATCGATACGCGAGTAGTTCGCGCTTTTCCTCGATTTCTATTGATGACGGGCCTGTCTGCAACCGCTTCCGTTCGAATTAGCACAAAAAAACGTCCGCAGTGCGTCCAGGAGTTCAGGTATACTGCATTGTAGTCTATATATGAAGAGCCATGTAAGGTAGCAAAAACACCTCGTGTTATGTTGAATCGCACGGTAATTTCATAAAGGGCGCGCTGGAGTCCCGGGTAGCACCTGACCTTTACTGGAGTCTATTTATAGCTTTGCACTGTTATTGAATATAAACATTCAATGACCATTAGGCGTGATGTTGAGAGAGCTACAGATATGTTTTGATTGTGGCTTGAGGCATCTCGTGTCGCTATCGCTAATCTTGTTATCGCGCGACGGAAAGTTAAACATGACTACCGTCGTGTTTCTGACGAAAACAATAAAATTGCGTTAGTGTAGTGATCCTAAGATATTTAATTGTGTTTAAACAATAGTTTTTTTTTGTATTAAAATTTTAAAACAACTTTAAAAAAGTTGTTTTATGTGATTTTATTCTAGAGAGTTCTTCACAGATTATTCTTTTGATCCAGAATATATTAAAAAATAGGTATAGAGGTACTTGCATATTTGAAGACAATATGCAATAGTCTTGTCAATCTTATAAAGGCACTTTCAATAAAGTTAATTTCATGAAATAATATTTTAATTGCTGGTGAAACACAGCTGACAAGATGTGTGACCGCAAGAGCGGTGATCAAGAATGCCGACATGAAGCTAAGAGATGCAGCAGGATGCAGTGACTGTGCAACACAAGCACTTGAGAAATTTAATATAGAAAATAAGTTGGTTGTTAATCATTACAATATTACCTACATAATGACATAAATATTAGTACAAATATCCATATTATATCTAATAAATGGCCTAAAGCATAAAAAGTAGCTTGATGTGTACTTTTCATATTTAAATTCAAGGTCAAGTAATTTTATTTCATGATTTATATTTATTAGAGACGGGGCTTTTTTACTTTTTAAATGTATGTAGAATATAAAGTAGGGTTTTATTAGGTTGGTGAAAAATTTACATATTTTACTGAAATTTATTCAGAGCAAGTCATTAGTTCTTAAAAATGTTACAATACTGCCCCAGAGGGTGACTGAAACATTATTATTTATTTACATATTTTGCAGACCCAAAATGGTGCTGAATAAGGGCAGGATAATTTTTTGTATTTTATCCATGTCCATTTCTCACCATAAACAAGAATGAACTGATTGCAATGAATTCTAATAAATAACATAAAAGTAAAAAAGTATAGGTTTAAGTGGTACTAAAAATTCTTAAGTTTTTGTGTCTTATTGCATGGTAAATAAATAAATAAATAAATAATAATAATAAAAATACACAGAATATTCTAGATTCTTAAGAACACTCGAACATTAATCAACTTCATATTATCCTGTATCAGTTATCTCTTACAACCTTTAAAACTTTGTACTTGAAGGAAGTGTTACATTTGGTACACTTATATAAATTGACCTAGTGGCGTACGCTAAACAAGCTGTGCCTCATTACAATGGCTGTAGTAATGCGGCGGGCGGCGAGTGCGGCGTGCTACATTCTCACAATGATAAAATTGAATTTAAGTGGTTTTCCTGTTGTGGTCAAGTACACATAGATTGTTTCCATTCAAAAATATTACAATTTCACATGATTGTATTGAGCAATTTGACCGTTGTTATGAAAAGTAAACTAAAGTTGCTGTAGTAAACAGATTTATACAGTAATTCCTTACAAGGAAATCATAGAGCATCCAAAGTATTTATATTAATATCTTTAATTTGTAGTTATTAGTATAGGTTGCATTGTATTAACATATCAAATTAATGGCAGTACTCTGAGGAACATAGTCCCTGTACATGAAATTGTCTGTCTTTTAATCTTTCATATCACTTTCTTGCTTGCAAGATGTAAGATGAACATGTAAAATATGAACAGTGTAATAAAATTGTATCATTTGATTGTTAATGGTATCATGAACGCTGTTTGTTATTGCAGGATATAGCGGCGTATATCAAGAAGGAGTTTGACAAGAAATACAACCCGACATGGCACTGCATCGTGGGCCGCAACTTCGGCTCGTACGTGACGCACGAGACGCGCCACTTCATCTACTTCTACCTCGGTCAAGTCGCCATCCTCCTGTTCAAGAGCGGTTAAGCCGTGCGCCCCTCTTGCTCTCTAAATTTTTTGTTGTTAGCAGCGGACATAGTATTACGCTCGCTCGGCCCGCTCGACGCTCGGCACGCCAGCGTGCTAGCCAGCGTGCCAGCGTGTCAGCGTGCCAGCGTGCGAGCGGGCGGCCGAGCGTCGAGCGGGCGGGCGGGCGGGCGGCCGAGCGTGTTCCCTGGATACTGTTCGTGTGGCGTGCGTCGAACACTTCACTTGAGTCCCCGGCGCACTCGGTGTATGTTTGTACTGTGTTAGTTAATATACTTAAGGTTCCACGTGACTCGGCAACATTCACATTTAGTGTATTTATATTAATGAAAATTTTAGTTGTTAATTGTAGAGTTTTATTCCTAAATATCTAGCATAGCGCGCAAGCTATATATATATTGTACTTATGTATCTAAATTGTTTCGTTTCTTTGTTGATACATTCACTGGAGATATTTTCAATACTTCTCTAATTATTAAACTTTCTTACAAACCAAATCTGCAGTTTTCTTTACAACCTACTCGTACTTACCACCAGAGGGAGACTGTACAAAACTCGATTGCTTTAGGTACCTCTGTCCCATTCGTGTTTCAACCGTGAAGCAGTTGTGTTTGCATGGCTGTGTTTCGGTTTGAAGGGTGGGATATGGCGTGAATTTACTGGGTACAGAGAAATAACACCTGAGTCCTCAGGAATGGCATGGGGGTATCATGGGCAAAACAGTATACTTCTGTTATGTCCATGGTACTGCTCATGTCTATAGGCGACGGTTACCACTTTCCATCAGGTGGACCGTCAGCTTGTTTTCCATTCTGTTGTATAAAAAAAAAAACTAAGTTAATCGAATCACTAGACATTGTTTTTTTTATGGGTGAAGAAAATGGTATGGTAACCCCGCCTGCGCTAACGGGATACGCTGGAGGGGTACCAGTGAAGAATGATCGATGAGGATGAGAAGGTCAGTTGGCCCATCGTGACGAATTCAACAAGAATTGTTCACGATGGTTTCAGAGGAACCACATGGAGGTCGACCTAATAGGGCATATTGCTAACAATGGGGCTGTTAAACTCCATTGCTAACAACCCCTTTCCCCCCTAGACATTATGTATTACTGGAGCTCCCCTGACTATTCTTACGTAAATTATTTTTGACTAGTGGTCCTTTATGAACCAATGGAGGGGCACCTTTTGGATTGAACCGGAAAAACGATTACGTGTCGTAAATTTAGTTAACGTACTTGAGGCATACAAATATATACCTGGCCAGGTACATACAAAATAGTGAAACCATAGACAAAACAATTTTTATATTTTAAAACAAAATATTGCGTGACTACAGTTCGTAACTGCAAATATATAAAATGCCATGTGAAACACTAGTGGTATATTGTAGGTCATGACATGCCACATGCCGTCTGCATCGTCAGTTAGCACATGCCTTTTATAATTCTGCATCGATTTTAACTGGCCTTTCAATAAAACCTTCGGTATGCATGGGATACTCGTACGTACTTATTTAAAAAGCAGCTTCTATTTCTTTATTTTGAATGGCAAACAAGCTGACGGTCTACCTGATGTAAAGTGGTAACAACAGTCGTCTAAAAGTATTACACAAGATATTGAAACGCTCATATAATGTCCATGCGTAGCCATTTCTAAGAACTATGGTGTTTTTTTTTTGATGGGTGAAAATGGTATGGTAACTCCGCCGGCGCTAACGGGATACGCTGGCGGAGCACCAGTGAAGGGTGATAGATTAGAATGAAAACAGGTCAGTTAGCCCATCATGATGAATTCATCAGGAATTAACCATGATAGTTTCCAGGGGGTACCGCGAG